GAGGAACCCCCATGCTGTTTTCACTAGCAGCTGCACCGGTTAACATTCCTACCAACAGTACACAACGATTCCAATTTTTTCCCAGGCTTGCCAACACTTGTTATTTTCTGTTATTTCTTGTTTTTGCTTTGATCGTAGCCATCCCAATGGGTGTGAGGTGGCATCTCATTAGGGTTTTGATTTGCATTTCTCTAATGCTTACTGTCTTTTAGTTTGTACTAAATCTTTGAAATTCAATGTGTATTTTAAAGGTATAGCCCAACTAAATTTGGACTGCTCACATTTCAAGTGCTTAATAGCTAGCTCCTCTATTGGAAAATGAAATTCTCAGGGGGTAAGTTGGGGCATTGGGCGGAAGCATATGGGGTTCAGGCATGTCTCTAGTACAAGGAAAATTGTTAACATCTGAGCTGCTTAAGAGGCAGCTGGGCATTCAGGATATCCCTGGTCCTTGGCAGGGATGGATCCAAAGAGAGGGACTGGCCTTGATGGCCTTCGGAAGAGGTTGCAGATCATGGATGTTCCTCTTGAAGGGTGGTATGAATGGGGGCAGTCAGTGCCTCAGACCCCCTCAGACCCCCAGTGCCACCGGCTTCCACAAAGGCTGTGTTTTGAACTCTCCATCCTGGCAAGCCCACTGATGGTTTTGTCATCACACACCAGACAGGAGCCTGGCTGTAGCCAAGGGCTAGAGACTGGGCCAGGGGGATGCGGCCGGCTTCCTTCCCAGCACTCTGCCCCGACCCTTCCTGCCCCGCAGCAGCCCCCTGGAGCCTGTCTAATCAGATCCAGGCCTGACCCCGCCAGAGGTCCTGGACCAGGAGGAAAGCCCCCTCCCCTCCCCGAGCTACTCTAGATCTGGCTCTCAGGAGAACCCCCCTCCCCTTGGGTGATTTATAGGGGTGTCCAGGAGCCATATCCTGCCTGTTTCTGCTCCCTTCCAGGCTGCTGGGTTGCTGGGCTCTCTCTCTGAGCCCTCTTTCCTCAAGGCCTGGGTGTACCCATAGCGGAAGCAGGGAGTGGCTGGGAGACTCCTTTGCAGACTGTTTGGGGACAAAGGTACTTTCTTCTTCACTTCTCCACAGTGACCCCCTCCCCTCCCATGGACGCCTCTGTCCACCCTGTCACTCTCTCTGGTCCTCACCCTGGAGGGGCGTCCCAACGTGACCCCCTCCCATAACCCAACTTGAAGCGAGGAACCCACAACGGCCTCTGCCTGACCAACAGGTGTCAGCAGGAGAATAAAGCAGCCGCGGCCAGAGCACCACCTTCACACCCGCCAGCCCTGGACGCACTGCCTGCCGCCCACACTGGCCTCCGTGTAGTGTTTCCAGCCACCACAGTGACCCGTGTCGGCCATTAGCTACCACACAGAGGCCTCCAGGATGGCTTGCTCAGGGATCAGGGTTTTCGGAGGTCCAGTCCTCAGCCCCTCAGCCCCATGGCTGCCCAGGGACCCTTTCCCAGAGAGAGACACGATCAAGGATCGCTTCCCCTAGCTCTGTGGCTAGCTTGTACAAGCCAGTGCAGCACAGACTTGTCAACCCAACACGTCCTACTCTGAGAGATCGGAGATCTAAGTGGCCCCGAGAAACTTTCTCCCCTGACTTCCTAAGGAAGTCGGGAGTGAACTTGGAGTGAGTGGACAATTCCCAGAGACCCCGACTCAGCTGCGAATGGACAAAAGAAAGTGAAAGTGTTAGTTGCTCAGTCGGGTCTGACTCGTTGCAACCCCATGGACTGTAGCCTGCCAGGCTCCTCTGTCCGTGGGATTTCCCAGGCAAGAACACTGAAGTGGATTGCCATTCCCTTCTCCAGGGGATATTCCCAATCCAGGGATCAAACCCAGGTCTCCTGCATTGTAGGCAGATTCTTTACCGTCTGAGCCACCAGGAAGCAAAGACCTGTTTATGAAGGCCTTTGCATATTTATGATTATACTTTAAGCAACATCACTTTAGAGACGAACTTGTCGCAAAAGCAGTAGAATAAAAGGTTAAAGTAAAAGAAACGGATCCAGCATGGAGTCGGATTTGCTCTTCCTTATTACCCTCTGACACTGTCTGCCCAGGGTCTCACCGTAGTCCCCCAGGACACTGCAGGGATACACAGGGCTGACCCAAGGGTTGAACAGGGGTGGGAGGAAAGGGAGGGAAGAAGGAGCCACAGATAAAGGGGGCCAACCCTCCTACTGCACCACCTGGAGACCGTGGTTCTCTGAGGGATGGGATTTAGGAGCCATCTCTGGGCTCACCGCAACTTGCAGCACGCTGGTAACTCCCAGCCGGTGAGAAAAGGCTAGTCCCACCTGCAGTCCACTCTGGGATCACCTGTCCTTGGAGAGTGTACAGTTTGCTGGAGAACTTAGGGACACCCCAGCACAGGGCTTAGGGTGTGGAACTTCTGATTTGGGGCTGGTAGAGCCACCAACTGGGCCTGGGCCTCAGTTTCCCCTTCCTAAAGTAAATGGGTTGGCTTGCGATGAGTAGTTTTCAAGCACCTTTCAAAACAAAGCTACCCTTCAAATGAGATGTTTGGCAGAATGGCAGTTCGGTGAAGCTGATGGGGGGGGTTCACCAAGGTGCTGCTCTGCGGGGGGAGATGTGAGGCCCGGGGTGGGGGGTACCTTTGGACTCTTGTACAGTGGGAAGATAGGCAGACCGACTCCTTATCTACTCCTTAACTACCGCTGTTTCCTGCTCCAGCCTTCCTCTCCAGCAGGGCATTCAAGCCGGGCTTTGTCATTGTTTAGTTTTAGGGGGAGGAAGAAGCTCGGAAGCCAAACTTTCTCCATCCCCAGTGCCCTGAGGAGAAGCAGTCCCTGCCCTGGTATCTCTCCCCAGGCCAGCTCCTAGCTCTCTGTACCTCCAGGGAGCCCAGAATGGGGGCTGGAAACACAAAAGGATTTGGTTCCTTAATGAGGAGGCATCTGTAGTCAGCGGAGCCATTAGTCCCCGCCCCAATCCCCTGGGGGACCGCAGGCTCCTCTCCAGCTGGAGTGGGGGGTGGCTGGGGGGAGACGGGGGCGGGGGCTGGCAGGCAGCTCCCCAGCTCCTGAGTGGGTCGGGCCGGGTTGTTGGGGCACAGACAGCTGACCCAGGAGTCTGGGTGCCCTCTCCACTCCCCAGGCCTGCCTCTGGCCCTGCCCTCCTGGAGGCTGAGGCCTGGAAGCAGTAGAGGCGTCCCACCGGTGTGTCTGCCCCCTCCCCTGAACCTCTGGGCTGACCTGCAAGCTCTTGGCCAAACACAGCCTTTGGCCTGAGACGGGGTAGGCTGACCTCACGGTGCTCCCTGGGGATCACTGCACCAAGCCTGATGGGGACACCAGCTGGGCGCTTGCCCCCACCCCCCTCCCCTAGGGCCCAAGGCGCCCTTTGTAAGGACTGTATCTACCTGGGGACATGTGTGATGGATCACCTACACAGAAGCCACAGAAGCGGAATATACAAGCCCTCATTCACATCCAGCCTCAGACCCTCACACCACACCACACACACACACACAGCCCTGCACACATGTGCAAGGAGGCGCTCACACCCATCAGCCGCACTCCCAGGAGGCCCTGAAAGAGGAGGAGGCAAGGCTGGGGATTTTTATGCATGTTTATATTTAATGAACCACATGCAAATGAGACAGAGAACGTGCCACAAAAGAGTCAGCCCCCAGAGACGCTGGGGAGAAGGGCACAAAGGTTTGGCCTTTCCGAACTGCCCTGGAGTCCTGCACAGGCTGGAGGATTGAGGGGGTCGGGCATGGGGTGTGCCCGCCTGCAACCAGGGAGCTGGGAGCCGGAGCTGGGAGCCGGAGCTGGGACAAGCTCCAGGGGCCCTGCTGCTGTGGGGGAGGGCTCCTTCTGGGAGGGGACAACTGTCCCCGTTGATGGAGTGTTGGAGGGGAGGGGCTGCCCGCCTGGACAGATGGTGAGCCGCCTTCCCGCACTTGAAGCAAAGTGGATTTTAATGAAATCACAGCCCTGGTGCTGAAACTGGGAAACCGCGTGGGAGGGGCCCCTTCCCGGGGCTTTACAGGTTGGGGAGTGGGGATGGCTGGGAATGAGGGTGGGTAGGGACACTTAACCAGCTGAAAATGGAGTGGGGGGAGGGGGGTGGCCCACGGCCCCTCTCATGATCAGCCCTCAAGCAGTTAGTTCAGATCCCCGAAAGGTGGGGAGGCAGCCCTGAATATTTATGACACATTGAAATGTAGATTGGTGGGTCTGACAGTCTTCTGAGAGGCTTGTCACCTTCGATGGATATACTACCCTCTTGGGGTATGTTGAGAAGCTGCAGAAGAACTGGGGATAAAGGGATGATGATGAAGGGCAAAGAAAGCCACTGGGCTCTGGTCACCAGGGTCTAAGGACCAGTGTCCCCGCTGGGTGACACTGGCCTAGTCACTTCCCCTCTCTGGGCCTGTTTCCTATTCTGTAAAAGGTGCAGCATAATATTTAGCACCTGCATATTTTAGCTGGGGGAGGGGGGCTTCCCTGGGGGCTCAGCAGTAAAGAATCCATCTGCCAATGCAGGAGACTTGGGTTCAATCCCTGGGTGGGGAATATCCCGTGGAGAAGGAAATGGCAACCCACTCCAGTATTCTTGCCTGGGAAATCTGTAGCCCTCCAGGCTCCTCCCTCCATGGGGATCACAAAAAGCTGGACATGACTTGTGACTGAACAGCAAACTAAGGGGGAGTTTATAAAAACTAAATCCAAAAGCAGCTGTAAAAGTGGGGAGCAGGCCCTGGGAGCAAGGCTTTCTATGACTGGCCTCTGTGTGTCCACAGTCCATTCTTTCGGTGTTAGAGGTTGATCATTCAAGGATTCGTCCATACCTTTCTCAGAGTGTCCCAGCCAGGCCTATACTGTCCTTCTGGGGGAGATGTTCTCACAGGTAGGAGGCAGGGTAAGCGCTGATGTCGACCTGAGGCCCCCACGCCTCCTCCCGTCCCCTCTGCTCCTCAGCGGTGTGCCTCCCCCATGCACAACTTCTTTTCTTTCTCCAGCCATGTCAGACTTCCACGTGCATCCTCAGGCCACCGTGGGCGAGGAGGGCGGTGTGGCCCGCTTCCAGTGCCAAATCCACGGGCTCCCCAAACCCCTCATCACCTGGGAGAAGAACAGGGTCCCCATTGACACGGACAATGAGAGGTGAGCCCTGGGTGGGCATGACCAGGAGGCAGGCCCAGTCCAGTGCCTGAACCTTGAAGAAGGCCTGCCTGCAGCCTCTGGGGTGGTATTCCTGCCACTTTGTTGAGACTGAGTATCTGTGTGGCTTGTGGGCCCAGATGCAACACTTGAGTCAGTGAGAAGGTCGGCGTGTGGTTGTTTGTTGCTGAGGCTGGAATTGCAGGGGCGTCCACCAGTGAGAGTCCCAGAGTGTGTCTGCGATGATGAAAGTGAGACTGGGACAGCGGCTGGGTGGTGGACTGTGTCCGTGATGCTGAGCATCCTTGGGCCAGTGGTGCTGTGCTGGTGGTTGACCGTGCCCCCCACCACAGGTACACGCTGCTGCCCAAGGGAGTCCTGCAGATCACAGGCCTTCGAGCTGAGGACAGTGGCGTCTTCCACTGTGTGGCCTCCAACATCGCCAGTGTCCGGGTCAGCCACGGGGCCAGGCTCACTGTGACAGGTGCGGGCCTCATCCTGTCGCATGCTTCCCCCCCACCACCACATCGCCCTCCCTTCAATGGAGCCTCAGGGCCTGGACTGTGAGCACCTTCTGAACACCTAGCTCTGTGCTCCTCGGGGTGAGGGTTCAGGGACCCCGAGGTCCCTCGCTGGCTCAGTTCTCTGGGAGGAAGCCCACCCTTGGCTTCTAGGTGGTTAGGTGGGGGTGGCCGTCCCACTGCGAGAGGCCCTGACCGGGGAGATGAGCGCGATAACGTCCAGGGACCGCCAGCATCTCTTCTCTCCGCCCCCCCCCCAACCCGGTTTTGGGCTGCAATTTGTCTCCCATCCCCCATGGCCTGAGCCGTGTATGTGGGTACAGGGCAGAGTGTGGTGAGGAGGTGGGAAGGGTCCCAGCTACAGTGAAGCAATGTCGTCTTCCAGGCTCGGGCTCTGGAGCCTACAAGGAGCCCACGATCCTCGTGGGGCCTGAGAACCTCACCCTGACTGTGCATCAGACCGCTGTGCTCGAGTGTGTCGCCACGGGCAACCCGCGCCCCATTGTGTCCTGGAGCCGCCTGGGTGAGCCCCGTCCTGCAGCCCCCGCCTCTCCCAACCCTGGGAGGGCCAGTCTCTTCTCCCAGCTCTGGGGGGCGGGGACCTGGAATCCTGTTTATTCTCCGTGGGGGTCCGCTTTCTCGAGTCCTAGGGAGGGGGGTGGTTTCCCTCTCCTTGGCAGGACCAGGGAGGTC